GCAACGCGCGCGAGTGCGCGCATAGGTGAGTGAGAGTCGATTATCGTGTACTTTCGTTTACTCCTGCCCGTTGGTTACTCAAGCTGGTCCGTGTCGACATCATGTGGCGTTACTTGTGGCAATGGAGTAGAAGTTCTTTTTCGTGCTTGCACAAATCCTGCTCCTAAACATGGCGGAAGATCTCGCCCTGGAGCTAGCTACTCAGTTTCCTCGTCGCAGAAAACTAATTTTCATCTCGTATTTTAATTTACAGTTGACGGTGGTTGGTCAAGTTGGAGTGGGTGGACTTCATGCACGAAAACTTGTGGATCTGGTTCACGACAACGTTCTCGAAGCTGCACGCGACCGCGTCCTCGTTATGGTGGGAAATCTTGCCCTGGAAGTGGGTTGGAAAGACAAGTGTGCAACAAACAACCTTGCCCGGGTAAGAAATGAAACGTTTCGTGGAATTACAGTTTAGTGTTTCAACTATTCCTACCTTTAAGAACAATACATCAGCAAAATACCGATTTTTGTTATGGAATATATAGTTGATAATGGACTACTCTTCCTTTTTAAGAAGACAGGAAAACTTAAGTAAAGGTCGGGCCCTTCTATCATTGACCTTTTTGTAGCGGAACGCTTTAAAATTACAAAATTATCAAAATGTAAATTCTCTTTGCTCGCGCCATCATTACGTCAACAGCTCGTGCTAGTACTGTGTTTCTATCGAGTTTTAGTATAAATCTACTAGCGTTCTATCACGACTGGCGTTCTCTGATTGGCTACGCTACTCACTATCTACTCTGTAATAGATAGTGAGTAGCGTAGCAGTGTGCCCTTGTTAACTAAATGACGGCCGCTTCTTGCCGTGAGTGTCTGTGAAGAGGATTTAGATTAAGTTTTGAACGACTTCTAGATTTATACTAAAACAATTAGGTTATTCGCTCTCGATGTCTATCGCGTGATGGTTTACGAGGGCGCACCCCGAGTCAGCTATCACGCGATAGAAATCGAGAGCGAATAATCTAATTGTTTAATAGAAACACGATTTTTAACCAATCAGCGCGCGTATTTTCTTAGGACTGTTTTCTAATAGAATATATAGAGATGAGAGCGTTAACAAGATTTTTGAGACAAGCACTTGTGAATTTTCTTTCCCGTTGAACAGTTCACGGTGGTTGGACAAGTTGGAGTGCATGGAATTCCTGCAATAAACCCTGTGGAACCGGTTTTCAAGAACGTTCCCGGAGCTGCACGAGCCCAGCGCCAAGTAATGGCGGGAAACCTTGCGAAGGAGCTGCGCGGGAAAATAATGAATGTAATACGCATGCGTGTCCAGGTAAGACGAGTAAGAACATCATGTTGACATAGATGTTGCCACAATCAGGGACGGAGTCCCCGATTATGGCTCCTGATGTTGGTCGATAGGACGTCATCTATTAGCAACTCTCAAGCAGTCTTCACTGAGCATGCTGCAAAGTAACACCTCTTTTGACCATTTTTTATCCTTTCTTCATTACTTAGTTGATGGCGGTTGGTCAAGCTGGTCTGTGTCGACACCCTGTAGCGTTACTTGCGGGAGTGGGGTAGAAATCCTTTCTCGTACTTGCACAAATCCCGCACCTAAACATGGCGGAAGGTCTTGCCCTGGGGCGGGGCGAAAGGAGCAGGCATGTAGCAAGAACCCTTGCCCAAGTAAGTACTGTGAAAAAATTACAATTCGACTTTGCCTTTCCACGCCCCCCCCCCCCCCCCCCCCCCCCCCCCCCC